AACCTACTTTGGGATATTTCTAAAGCCTAATTCCATCTAAAACCCTTTTGTTAATTTTTTTTGGACATAGGGCACAAATGTTAGTACCTCTCTCAGGTTTTCATTGCTGCCTTTGCCCCTGTTGGGGAGACTTTCCCTTACTTCCTATCAGAAATTAAAGCAATGGAAAATCCCTCCAGTGGGGGTTCTATTCAAAATGGATAAAGGAGAAATAGGAGTTATACTTTAAAACTTACACCTTGATGCTGGTTAACAGTGAACAATAAGGAGCAGAGATAAACTTGGGTGTCCTACAAACATATATGTAATTTGTGGTCGAACTCTGAATTTGCGTTCTTTTTCTTATTCTGGTGAGTTGCGAGTCGAGTCATTCCTACCATGTAGCCCGCCTCTGTATAGATGAGCTGCGGGGCAGGAATGACCCAGCATGCAGCTCATTGAATTTTAAAAAATGTGTAAATTCATCTAGAGATGGGTACAGAGGACACCAGAGCTCATCGCTAATAAGCGTCAGTCCTATCTTCGAGACCAAGACCCATATACTACCTCAAGGCAAGCAAGACTGATGAAATTCAGAACAAAAAGACCAAAGTTGATGGTGTATTGCTGCTCTAACCAGCAGGCTGTGAGTAGGGCAGTGACACCAATATACACTTTATGACCACTTTATGACCAAAAGTATGAGGACAGCTGACCATCACACCTATAATATATGACCAAAAGTATGAGGACGCCTGACCATCACATCTATAATATATGGCCAAAATTATGAGGACACCTGACCATCACATCTATAATATATGGCCAAAGGTATGAGGACACCTGACCATCACACTAACAATAAATGGCCAAAAGTATGAGGACACCTGACCATCATACCTTCAGTAGGTGTGATAGTCAGGTGTCCTCATACGTTTGGCTATATATTGTAGGTGTGATGGTCAGGTGTCCTCATACTTTTGGCCATATATTATAGGTATGATGATCAGGTGTCCTCATACTTTTGGCTATATACTGTAGGTGTGATGGTCAGGTGTCCTCATACGTTTGACTATATATTGCAGGTGTGATGGTCAGGTGTCCTCATACTTTTGGGCATGTATTATAGGTGTGATGGTCAGGCGTCCTCACACTTTTGGCTATATATTGTAGGTGTGATGGTCAGGTGTCCTAATACTTTTGGCCACATATTGTAGGTGTGAAGGTCAGGCTTCCTCATACTTTTGGCCACATATTGTAGTGTGAAGGTCAGGCTTCCTCACACTTTTGGCTATATATTGTAGGTGTGATGGTCAGGTGTCCTCATATTTTTGGCCATATATTGTAGGTGTGAAGGTCAGGCTTCCTCATACTTTTGGCCATATATTATAGGTGTGATGGTCAGGTGTCCTCATACTTTTGGCTATATATTGTAGGTGTGATGGTCAGGTGTCTTCATACTTTTGGCCACATATTGTAGGTGTGATGGTGAGGCGTTCTCATACTTTTGGCCACATATTATAGGTGTGATGGTCAGGCGTCCTCATACTTTTGGCTATATATTATAGGTGTGATGGTCAGGCGTCCTCATACTTTTGGCTATATATTGTAGGTGTGATGGTCAGGTGTCCTCATACTTTTGGCCACATATTGTAGGAGTGATGGTCAGGTGTCCTCATACCTTTGGCCACATATTGTAGGTGTGAAGGTCAGGTGTCCTCATACTTTTGGCCACATATTGTAGGTGTGATGGTCAGGTGTCCTCATATTTTTGGCCACATATTGTAGGTGTGATGGTCAGGTGTCCTTATACTTTTGGCCACATATTGAAGGTGTGATGGTAAGGCGTCCTCATACTTTTGGCCACATATTATAGGTGTGATGGTAAGGCATCCTCATTCTTTTGGCCACATATTATAGGTGTGATGGTAAGGCATCCTCATTCTTTTGGCCACATATTAGAGGTGTGATGGTCAGGCGTCCTCATACTTTTGGCTATATATTTTAGGTGTGATGGTCAGATGTCCTCATACTTTTGGTCATATGGTGTATTCTTAATTCTTAACAAAGGAAGTATTGTCACCCTCCTGCTTGTGCTGTGTGGCAGAGGGGTTTCAAAGGTGTCTGGGCAGAATTGCAAATCATTTGGCAATGTAGAATAAAAAATAAGAGTGTGCGTAATTCAGGTTAGGTTCTTAGCTCCTTGACTAGAGTTCAGCTTTGCAGCATTTCCCAATTTTTATGTATAGAAACACAGGAAGCTTATGCTATATTCTATCTGCATCATATTAATAACATTTGAACTTTAGAATCACACATATTTCACAATTTTAATATAATCTTCACATCTTTGTAATGTACACAAGAATTAGTGTAGTGTATAAGTGCATAGATCCAAGCAAGGTACAATAAATTGTTTTCTAACTAGGCTGTAGTTAAAGTAGGACTCTGCATAGGACTTCTATTTGTCATGCATTGAAAAGAGAAGGCAAGGGTTAGAAACCTCTATATTTTTTAATTTTTGATATTGCGGTCTGTGTTTTTGTCCCAAATTGTCATAAATTGAAATAAAAATATAGAGTGTTTTTAGCAAATCCCAACTTTACACCAAACGAAAAAGAGTTCATCTTGAATGTCCACTTTAAAAGGCTAACTCCAGCCATTTTTTAAAATTTTGGATTGATGGGGAATATGTCAATATTTCCAGGTATGGATATTTTTACATAGTTGCATTGGTCAGGCTTAGACCAGTGTAACTATGCATACACCATCTCTTGGATTGTAAGCTCTAACGAGCAGGACCCTCTGTTTCCTCTTGTACCAAATTTGTATTGCAACTGTAATGGCTACCTTCATTTTGTAAAGCGCTGCGCAAACTGTTGGTGGTATATAAATCCTGTATAATATAATAATAATACAACATACCTATGGGATCCCTGTGGAAGCTGGAAATCACTGTGGTAGGTACCACTGCTACAATGTTCTCCACTAGCTTTCAGGTTTTGTGCCGAGCAACTACCCTGCTGCTTACTAAACCCAGAAGGTCACCCGCTCAGGATGGGCATCATTCAGAGGTTGCTTTGTATTTTCTCAATGAATGCAAAGCATTTTCTGATTGGATGACTGGGAGAGCCAGGACAGTGATGTCACAACCTCCACCTCATCCAATCAGAGAATGTATTAATTGAGAAAAATACAAAACAACCTCTAAAAGATGTCTGTGCTGAGCAGGTGGCCTCCTGGGTTCAGTAAGCAGCAGGACAGCTGTTTAGCTCGGGACCCAGGGGCAATCACTGGAGTAGCATTGCCTATTTCAGTGATTTCCAGCTCCCATAGAGATCAGTCAGGTATGGTATATGCATAGTTACATTGGTCCAAGCTCAACCAATGTAACTATGTAAAAATATTGATACCTGGAATTCATATTTAAAGCTACAGCAAAGAACCCAAGGCATGACAAAATAAAGAAGCTTTTACTACAGTACTCACGTTCACTCTGGAGCTGTCCTCTGCAGTACATTGTCTCTGCCATTAGAGGTCGCCAGTCTTCTGGGTTAAAAAAAAAGACTACACGTCCGCTTTAAAATTTGCTTTTTATTTCTGTCTGTGATCCCTTTGGTGAGCTTTACCCCCCCCCCCCTTTCCTGTCACTGTGATGCTCATACAAGTAATAGGGGATCAGTAAATACTAAGACAGGAAAGTGAAAAAAGTAATAAGTACCTCAGACTACTAAAAATGTGTTCTGGTTTTTGTCTGTGTCCCCATTGGAGTGATTTATTATCATTCTCTGTCCCAGTTATTGCGGTTATGTAATATCTCACTATTTGTGTCATTTACCATTTTTAAAATCTCATTGTCGCACCTGAAATAAATAAATCACAGTCGCATTATATGTGCTAATAAATTGTAATTGAAATCTATGCTTCATTTCCCCACACTTTTCTATCCATACATTTAAATTTAGATTTCCCTAGATTTGGTAGTGGTGGGGGCTTGCATGCTCTGCTCTTTGTCGTAAGGTGTCATTGAGCTGCACTTTGCATATCTGGCAAACACAGTCAAGGTTATTTCAGCAGGCATTTTGTTGTATACAAATGGTAATCTGTACATGTGCACCGGGCCAGGTCATAAAGTGAAAATCCTGAGCAGACAGGGCACGGGGTTATAACTGAATATCATAACAATATTATATAGAAAATACCATGTCTAGGAAATGCAAAAAAATGTGTATGTACCTCTTGTACAGTTGCCCCTCAAAAATGTGCACATAGAAAAGCGATTAAACCAATCATTGTGAGCGGCGCTAGCACTAAAATAATAATTCACATATAGTTGTGCTTAATTCATACTGTTGGGAGGCAACATGTTTTTTTTTTTATTTCAGACATTCGTGGATTCTTACTGCCTGGTTGTCAAAGAACTATTTGGCCTATTGAATGTTATCTTGGAGTGTCAGGAAAAGCAAGTATTTACAACAGGATGTGTGTAACAAAAGGCGGCATACCAAAATCCTTGTCCTGGGAGTTCACACAGACCCCCTAGCGGTGGGGCATGGAGATAAGAGAGCCTCAACCCAGACTCCCTGGTGCCGCGAGTAATAAAAGGACAGATTACATGGCTTCTAGCCAGAAGGAAGAAGCCAGATGTGATTGACCTGGGTCTGAGCATTGTTGGCAATATAGCAGTGCCCCCTGGTGGAGACAACCTACTTCCGGGAGGATGGCTGGGGTAATTCTACACTTCCTAATGAATAGGGAGGACAGCCCCTTATGAGTTATGGATGTTTGCTCATTGGACGGAGGACTACACCAGGTGGGTCAAGGGTGTGTGCGTGGGTGGTGCTTGAGAGGGTTTTTAACCACTTGCCCACAGGGCACTTGTACCACCTTCCCTCCCAGGCCAATTTTTAGCTTTCAGTGCTGTCGCAATTTGAATGACAATTGCACAGTCATGCAACACTGTACCCATATGAAATTTTTATCATTTTTTTAAGTCAGATAGAGCTTTCTTTTGGTGGTATTTAATCACCAATGGGTTTTTTATTTTTTGCTAAACAGACCAAAAACCAGTGAAAATTTTGAAAAAAAAACTTTTTTTTAGTTTCTGTTATACAATTTTGTAAATAAGTGATTTTTCTCCTTCACTGATGTGCGCTAATGAGGCTGCAGTGATGGGTACTGATGAGGAGGCACTGGTAGGTGGCACTGATAGGCATTGACAGGCATCACTGATGGGCACTGAAAGGCAGCACTCATATATGGCACTGATAGGCAGCACTGACTGGCACTGATAGACAACACTGACAGGAGGCACTGATTGGCACTGATAGGTGGCACTGATTTTCATGGATAGGTGGCACTGAAAGGCATCTCAGATGGGCACGGATATGTGGCATTGATGGGCACTGACAGGTGGCACTGATGGGGCTACACTGATCATTAGTGCCCTGATGATCAGTGTAGATGTCCCCTCAGGAATGCCGATTACTGGCTCTCCTCTCCTCATGATCTGTCAGCATGACAGCTCGTGAGGACAGGCATGCCGATAACCGTCATTTCCTTATTTACATGCAATCAGCTGTGATTGGACACAGCTGATCACATGATAGCGCCAACATCATCGGCTCTTTCCGTTGATCAGTGATCTGCTGTGTCCGAGGGACACAGCAAACCACAGATCGGCACACACGCGTGGTTAGAGTGGGAGGGCGTCACATGACATCCTCCAAGAACGAGAGAACCACTTTGCGCCCGTCATTTCCTTATATGGCGGGCGGGAGGCGGTTAAACAAGTTTTGGCCACGCTCTCTCTCTTTGACCATTTTTCCTACCTGGGATCCAGCTAAAAGACACTCAGCTTTGAGGACGAACTTACATAACGTATCATCTTTACTATTAATATTGGTAAATATGTAATATTGGTTTAGATTTCTCTGTTAGCGTTTTACTTCCTTTGTAAATAAATAAGACCTTGCTTCTTAGAGCATTGCGTTTGTTATTATAGCTAATATTGCAGTATATTACGTCCATTAATGTTGTCAAAGCTTCCTGTATATATTTACTAATTAATTATAGGAACCGACAAATAGTACATAATTGTATAATAAATAGGGGGATGCAAGAAAACCACCTCTTTTGTTTATTTCATTTGGCACCCTAGCAGTAGGAGTGTGGTAAAACAAATTCCACACAGAACCCAAACCTTAATGTACTTTTGTTTTGAGTTCCTATAAGCTAAGAAGTCCAAAACTCTACAAGAGCTCCAGAACTGAAGGCATTCATCTTTGCTGTGGACAAGATTCGCGCTGGTTTGTGATGTCTGAAGCCCTTCTAGAGTGGTACTGGAGGTTCTGTGAAATACTCCATCAGTGAGCGAACGCACATATCTGGTGAGTATAAAGTTTTTGTATCGTTAGATGGTATATGTGTTTATTGTATTGTTGATGCAAATGTTTTAGGCCTGTTTAGCTGTTCAGTTGTGTGCCGGCAAGTGAAGGGCTGATCACCCTTGGTTAACTGATGTACCCAAGGGCGGACTGACCATTTGGAAACTCGGGCACTGCCCGAGGGCTGGGGTTAGTAGGGGGCCCCATGAGATGCCCCTGGTACCTTTTTCATAGTTTTTTTTGAGTTTGGGCAAGGACACAGGGGCCCCATGATCCCCTATTGCCCAGGGGCCCCATGAGTTGTCAGTCCACCCCTGGATGTACCCTGTACATCTATAGGATAAGCCAGACATCTTTGAGAAGAAAGTGAGAGAAATATAGATTATATTTATACTTTTTATCCACGTGAAAGGGAATTAGCTTTCTGCTTCAACAGAGGATCATACCAATAATCAATTAAAAAAAGAAAACACTAAAATGATATTCTTCACTTGTGAAAGTGTCCATACACAGAGTGTCCTAAACCGTGAAGAAAAAAGTAAGAATATTCTCATTTTTTTCTTATTTTCTTACTTTTTTTTTACTTTTTTGTTTCTAAGCACTTTTTTTCCCTTACTTTTTAAAAAAATTTCCCTCTTCACCTAGACATGCATGTTATGCTGCTCGTTAACATGTGTTTTTGTTTTTTTGTATGCAGATAATAGAAGATCAGTAAACTTTCAATTACAGCAAATCATATACAACTTCATATGCCTAACATAGGCATTAGAGCGGAACTTCATGGCCTCTGAGCACCACAAACCAAAAACACTATTTAGTTCATTCTTAATATTCAAAACAAACTCCCCCATCCACGTCTCCATGCTTTATTTTGCAGAGAAATCACTTTGAAAAACACCGCCCTAGCATTTCTGGTTGTAGCCATCTTGAGTAAGGGCAAATGGTTAATGTAACATTTACTTCCTGGAACCCATCTGCCCTTATCTTAAGCATGCAGGCAGGAGGGTGTGCTTAGCTGAGAAAACCCCTCCTCCTCTCCTGAAGACTCCTGGGATGTGTGACATCATTTGCATAGGCAAGAAATCAGGAAGTAACTGATGAAATTTTAAAAATAAAGTTTAAAACCTGTAAATATGATATATCTTCCTATCTATTTATTAATGCTAGAAGCATAAGGATTACAAACAATCAATGTTGATTGGGAGAGTGAAGTTCCACTTTAAAGTGTATGCATAGTCAAAACTTTGTTTTAGTTTTGGAAAATAGGTAAGATCCCCTGTCAGGTTTTTATTGCTGTGTCCCCACTAGGTAGATTCATCCTCTCTGTTGGTCCTAGTGACTATTGTACTCGAGACAAAATGGGTTCATATACATTTGAGATTGGAGGGCAGTAAAAACAGGAGGCTGAGCTGCCCTGCAACTGCATGTAATGCATTTACAGGGTTAAAACAGGTGATGAGGAGGCAACAGATCGCCTCTTGTCAAACCCTTCTGAAAAGCAACCCACTGTGGAGACCTAGTCAAAGTGATGGGAAATCCAAATTTTACAGTTGTCACCAGAACTGAGAGTAAATCTGTCAATGGGGGAACCTGTTCCAGTAATAACTGTTCAAGAAGAGAAATCCCCTTCACTTTGTAGAGATTTCCTTTTGTTTCCTACTGCATCTCAAAGACAGGAAGTGGAAAGAAATCTCCCCGAAAGGACTTCGAGAGCAAAAGGTTAAATCTGAATTCCAGGTATGATCTGTATTGCATAGTACTTTAGTCCAGCTTGGCACAATGTAAGTCTGCCTAGCTCATACCTGAGGGGCCGCTGGGGAAGCAGACAATCACTGTTGAAGTCAGCACTACTACAGTAATAGCCACACTGTTCCAGGTTCTGCATCTATTTTTTTAAATGAATACAAGATTGCACAAGCTGGAGAGGAGAGGTGGTGGTGTCGCGATCTCCCCCTCATCCAATCAAAGGACATCTTGTATTCATTGAAAAAAATGCAAGGCATTCTGTGACTGGTGGCCGTGCCAAGCGAGTGACCTTCCCCTATGGTCATTGTGCAGAGGGAAGGTCGTGCTCACAGAACCACAACAGGACTCAGAAGATCACAGCTATCCCTGAAGTAGCACTGTCTACCACAGTGATTGTCAGCAACCCCTCAGGTATGAGATATGAAAACTTACATTGTGCCAAGCTGGACCAAGTATGCAATACAGGTCATAATAGAAGGTCAGCTTGGACTGGCATAATTTTAACCTTCTCTAAAACAAAAAAAAACAGTTTTGGCTATAAATACACTTTAATAGCTTTTCAAAATGTATATGTAAAAGTTTTAGAAGCTAATCAGAAGTTGTGCACAGGTTCTTGGAGATGGTCAGATTCCACCTGCCAGATTCAACTGGTTGCTTTCTGTGGCCTAAGACAGCCGACAATATAGAGCCAAGGGCTGCTTGTAGAAAATGAAAACCCAAATATTTCCATATCGGTACTGGTATGGGAACGCTTACTGTACATTGTGGATGATCTATGCCCTAAGGTGAACTAGGGATTACTAGTCCTTTAAACATGCCTCCTATATGTCGTTTTTACCAGTAATAAATAAGTTGAGAGTTGATCTCTTCTTGTTGAGGGTGGAAGGCCTCTCCTCTTCCTTCACTTGTTGCTGCTCTTCTATCCCATGTGGGAGCTTAATGGCACAGGAAGCGTGATCTACCAAAGGCCTGGGCAGTGACCCTATCTTCTTCCACGCCTTGGTCTCTGGGTCGTATACGAAGACGCTGTCCTCTTTGTTCATGCGTCTTAGGGAACCCCCTCCGGTGATGTAGAGCTTGGACTGGTGGGTGACGATACTGAACTGGCAGCAGTCAAAAGGAGAAAGCTTCAAGGTGCTCCATTGATCATCCGTGGGACAGTAGAATTCTGTTTCATTCACATGGATCCATTCCTTGGCCTATAACAATGTAAAAGGTGCAGAATAAACTTTTTTGATGAAAGGTTTGTTACCTCTGAAAGTTGGAATTACTGTCTACTCTATGATTATTTTGGTACTTATTAGAACAGACAATGAGGAAACCCCCTCACACACATTTTGTCTATTTCACAGATGTCAGACAGAACAGGAAGACATAGAAATTCACCCAACTTGTCTATTTGATGGATGCCAGCAAAGAGAGTGGAAACCACGTTCCCATTTCATGTATTACTGGTGATAAACACTTCCATGAGTACTGTGACAGTTGGTAAGTTGAATCCCATGCTGATTTTTGTTGGATTTCCCACAAGACCTCATAGGTTGTGGCTTAGGGTGCCAATGCCACTAAGATCAGCACAAGTCATAGCGTTTCAAGAGTGTTGGAACCTGCACAGCATTAGTAAGCACCCTACACTAGAAGCTGAGTGTTCCAGCACCAGGCACAGTTCCAGCAAGCATCACATGGAGTGATTGTAGATCAATGCTTCCCCTGATATACTGACCAACAATAGACCTCTCATCAATGAAGGTGCCTGGCTGGCAGTGAAGTCCTGTCTCCCCCCCCCCCCCCCCCCCCCCAACCATGTGACCACTGCACAATAGTCTAAGCCAAGTAACATAAGTCCCACCTGCATGTTAAAATTCTCTAACGATTTACTCCCAGACACCAAATTAGGAAATTTTTTCTCCCACTGATGCCATGGAGTTGTTCCTCATACTGAACTCCAACCTCCAGGGCATTTTTGCTCCCACTAACCACCAACAAATGTCAGGGTATTTTTCGCAGGTACTGACTACTGATGCCAGGGTACTTTTTGCTGCTACTGATCTTTGATGTCAGGTATTTTTTCCAGCTACTGACCATTCATGCTGGGGTGTTTTTCCCAGCTACTGACCGCTGATTCTGAGGTATTTTATCCTACTACTGACCACTGCTGTCAGGTTTTGTTTTCACAGCTACAGACCTCTAAAGCCAGGGTATTTTTCCAGGTATTGATCGCTGATGCCAGGGTATTTTTCCCTGCTGACTACTGATGCCAGGGTACTTCTCCCAGGTACTGATCACTGATACTGGGATATTTTTCCCAGGTACTGATCACTGATACTGGGATATTTTTCCCAGGTACTGATCACCGATGCAGTGGTATTTTTCCCTGTTATTGACCATTAATGGCAGAATATTTTTCCCTACTACTGACCTTTGTTGCCAGGGTATATTTCCCTGCTACTGACCACACATGCTGGGCTTTTTTTCTCTATTACAGACCACTGATGTCAATTTATTTTTCCCAGCTACTGACCTCTGATGCCAGAGTATTTTTCCAGGTATTGATCACTGATGCTGAAGTATTTTCCCTGCTATTAACTAGTGATGCCATGGTATTTTTCTCAGCTACTAACCATGGATGCCTTGTTTTTTTTCTCAGCTGCTGACCACTGACGCCGGGGTGTTTTTTCCAGCTACTGATCTCTGATGCCGGTGTATTTTTCTCTGCTACTGACCACTGATGCCGGTGTACTTTTCCCAGGTACTGATCACTGATACTGGGAAATTTTTCCAAGGTATTGATCACTGATGCCACCATATATCTTTGTGTTGCACTGCACTAGGCACATTATTTATAGCATCACATACTCTAGACCAGTGGTCTACAAACTGTGGCCCGGGGGCCGGATGTGGCCCTTTGCTTGCCTTTGTTCGGCCCTTGAGGCATAATTCCTGCCACTGACATGAACAATGTGGCACTATTCCTCCCATTGACACCAATGATGGGACACTATTCCTACCACTGACACCAAGGGTGGGGCCCTATTCCTCCTACTGACATCAACAATGGGGCACTTTTCTTTCCAATGACACCATCAATGGCGCACTATTTCCTCCCAAATACCAAAGATTGTCCCACTGGGCACAGTCCGGCCCCCTAAAGTCTAAAGAACAGTAAACTCGCCCTTTATTTAGAAAGTTTGGAGATCCCTGCTCTAGACTGAGACACACTGTCTACTGTTTTGTATGGAACAAAGAATAAGATAAGAATCTCTGACGTTGCTTTGACTTTCCTGATCTGCATGCTTGCTTGAGATCTATTGAAGCCATGGACAACCAGGTAGCTATCATTTCCAAAGGGCAACAGGCAATAACAGCCTGCATATTTTACCAAGTACAGCTTTCCTTTCATTTTTAGTTTTGGGCATGTGGGGGTCTTACCGCATTCAGTGTGCGTCCACCAACACAGAAGATCTTGTCTCCAATAGTTGCCATACCGTGGTCACATCGAGTGTACATCATAGCGCGGTTCACAACCCAGCGCTTGAGCCTCGGCAAATAACTGTACACGTCGTTCAGGGTTTTATTTGTGGAATAACCCCCTGCAAGTGAAAAAATAATGCAATGAAATATAAATCCATATATCTGCCATTTGTCTATGGACTCCATGCTGAATTAATGGTTCTGCACATTTGCTGTGCCTATAATGAGGGACTCCTACTCACATTCTCCATGTTATATAATAACAAGAGGAGCCAGAACACACAAATCTCCCAGGTAGCCAGGAATAAGGCAGATAATTGTGGCTATTTACAGCTGGAATAATCCATAATTATGGAGAGCAATCAAGACATATAAGAAGCCAGGGGCTGACTCAGCTCAACACGCACAAACTAGAACTTTAATAGTATGCCCAGTAGCCCCACTCACCTGAAATGTACAAGATACCCTTGTGAGTAGTGCCAGCGTGATCTGCCACTGGAACTGGGAAGGGGGAGGTATATTCCCACTTGTTTTCTGCAGGGTTGTACTCTTCCGCACTCTGGGTCAAGTGGCCCAGTAAAGATCCTCCACCTACAGCAATAATGCGCTCCCCAATCACCTCGGTATGAAATCGCGTTCTCCTTTCCAACATAGCTGCAATTTGCAACCAACTTCCAGTGCGAGGATCAAACCGGAAAACCTGTGGGAATGACATGATGAGTTACCAGACATTTTCTAAGACTTTCCTTTTAGGCACAATGGGAATTTAGCCCCACTGCATGAGATTCTGGCGTTTAGGTGTGGGCAGAAGGTATAGGTAGGCCCAGCACTACTGCCGGCAGCCCATTAAACTCTATGGGAGGCTGACAGCGGCCACAGCTGAACAGTGTACTGAGCAATACTAATGACTAGGGCAGTATGTGCCTAGGGACAAATGCCAAGAATGCAAGCAGTTTGTGATTCAGCATTCATCCCTGGGTGCGTACTGCCCTAAACATTAGTACCATTCAGCTGGAGCAGCTGTCAGTTTTGTTTTATTAATTTTCAAATTCAATTCAAATTTTTCAAATTTTGAATAGAATAAATTTTAATTCAAAACTTTTCAATTCGGTTGAATTAAATTCAATTTGACTGAATGGAAACAATTCAAATGTATTCTATTCGAAGTTTGAATTTCAGAAGACAATTATATTCTATTTTATTCTATTGTTTTTTCTATTCAATTCTATTCTTTTATTTTATATTTTAATCTATTCTTTTCAAATTTATTCTATACGAAATTCGAATTTCAGAAGACGGGTATTGTCTATTTTATTATATTGTTTTTTTCTATTCTATTCTTTTCTTTTCTATTCTATTTTATTCTATTCTTTTGAAAATTCAGAAGGCGGCTATTTTCTATTTTATTCTATTCTATTTCTATTCTATTCTTTTATTTCCTAGTCTATTCTATGCTATTCTGTTATGTTTTACTCTAATTCCTTTATTTTCTATTCTATTTTATTCTATTCTTTTATTTTCTATTCAATTCTGTTTTAATTTATTCTATTTTCTATTCCTTTATTACCTATTCTATTTTATTCTGTTCTTGTTTTCTAATTCGATTTTGTTTTCAAATTCCATTTAGTTTTTGAGTAATTCCAATTTCGGACTAAAGTTTGTTTAGTTATTTTGGATTTGTTTAAATTCATTACTATTGTAATTCAGAAATTCGAATACATCCAAATCTCTGAATACCTAAAAAGTTGTCTGAATTTCGATTCAAAAGGACAAAATGAACCGCACATGTCAAGTCAGCAGTGTGGCTGGATGGTGCACCTGTGACTTCTACCTGCACCTAGAATCTTATGCACTGGGGCTAAGCGCAAGAGTGTGCTTGAAGTCTTAAGCTGGCCATAGAATAATTGAAATTTGTCAAATTCAGCAGGCACAGGCCAAATTTCAACCCATCTATGGCCGTTTCCATTCCAGAGAATTTGATCTAATGATTAACTTTTCTTGAACTGGCTTGTTGGAAAATTTTCCTTTGATCAGTGCTGAATGTAATAAGCTGCAGCACCGATCATTGTATTCTGAAATCAGAGGAGTCTCACTGTCAGAACACAATAACACAGCAAAGGGGAGCCATAGGGGGAGATTTACTAAAACTGGAGCACACAGAATCTGGTCCAGCTGTGCATAATAACCAGTCAGCTTTCATGTTTCATTGTCAAAGCTGAATCAAACAAGCTGAAATCAGAAGCTGACTGGTTACTATGCACAGCTGTACTAGGTCCTCTGTGCACCGGTTTTAGTAAATTTCCTCCATAGCATTCATTTAGAGTACAATAAATCAGTAGAGTAATTAAGCTGTACCATTAGATGGTGCCTGTAGTCTGCTAAGCATCATAAAAACAATGCACACTTTTGTTCAAGACAATACAAGGTGCAATTGTCATGTGCAAACCATAGCCACCAGGACTTTTTAATTGTCCCTTTAAAACGTAAATTAGTATTGATTAGGCTTGTGCAGGAATCTGAATATTTAGTCTTAATAATTATAAATATGAAGACTTGCCTGTGAAAGTTGTGTCTGCTCCCAGTTAAGTACTTTACACTTGGTATCCTGAAAACGGTCTAACTTTACACATTGACTCCTCCTGTTGCCTATGATTTTTTTGCCTGCCTCTGGATCAACTGTGGGTATAGGATTATAACTTTTTTTTTTCTTTTTAAGGTTGAACTGGATGGAATTTTGTCTTTTTTCATCCAGACTATGTAACTATATGAGCTCAGTGGCTGCGACAAGAGAGTAGACACTGGGCGGCCAAAAGGACAGGATGGCGCTACCCCCCCCCCCCCCCGTGGCACTAGGGAGCGCTGGCCCCACAGCTGTTCTGTCTCTACAATAACTCGGGTTGGGGGCATCACAGGCTGTAGAAGATTTTACGAATGCTTCTTTTAAGTGCAGGTTTGGACTCCTTTATTTAAACTGAAAGTGAGCCTTAGCTGGAAGGTAGGTTTCATGCTACTGTACCCATATGGGACAGCATAGTATGCATAGTTGCATTTAAAGGTGTGCTTATACTATAATGCATTTCTGTTGCTATTGCAAACCCCCCCCCCCCCCCCCCAAAAAAATAGACATTGCCTCCCAGCAAAGAAAAGAAAAACCTGTTCCACTGCTTGTGCCACCCGTTTTCAGAGATACAATGGTTGAACAACCCTTAGTAGTGTAGTTATAAAAAGATTTGCAGAGCAATTTGCCTGTTGAAAGTGCAGCAACATTCATTCTATACAAATAGGTCAAAGAATGAATGTTACATAGTTACATAGTTAGTCTGGTTGAAAAAAAAAAACAAAAGTCCATCAAGTTCAACCAAAGGAAAAAAAAAAAGTTATAATCCTATACCCACAGTTGATCCAGAGGAAGGCCAAAAAACCCCAGCAAAGTATGATCCAATTTGCTCCTGCAGGGAAAAAAATTCCTTCCCAATCCCCCGAGAGGCAATCGGATATTCCCTGGATCAACTTTACCTATAAATGTTAGTATCCAGTTATATTCTGTTTATATAGGAAAGAATCCAGGCTTTTTTTAAGTGTTTTTTAATATTATTAGGCTTTTTCCTCTTGCATTAATTTAAAACAAAAAATACCTAATTTGGGCACTAGATGGAACAAAGTATCATTCCTGTTATAATTATCGATGTCTAGTGGACAAATGTGATGTTTGCCATTTTATATCAATGAAAACAATATTCTACCAGCATAAAAAATAGCCTAATCTTCATTTTTTCCCATTCTCACAGAATGAATGTATTTGCACTTTAACTGAGTGTACAGCTAAGTTTTTTGTTTTGTTTTGTTTTTACACCCCTTAATATCCATCACATATCCAGGGGTATTAGATGACTGGTCCATTTCTGCAGTCTGTGGTTCACCCTCCAACCCCACCATCACTACTCTATCCTGTATGGATGAAACCACAGAGCGCAGAGATAGATCAGGCTTTTAATACTCCTGGAAGAGTGACGAATGCTAAGGATTCTAAAGCCAGTGCAAAGAGACCATTTTTCTGTTTATTTGGGTCTTGGGTGTAATTTTAAAACAGCAGGAAGACAGAGTATATGTGTCCCAGTGCCATTTTAAAACAGTATTGAGACTCAGTGGCTCCAGTGGGTATCAGCTGGCATGTAGGGAATTGCCGCTGTCAGTGACAGCTGGCTTCTAGCAATAAGTTCAGGATCTCAAAGGATCAGCACCTGGGCTTCTGATTCACATTACATTTAAAAGGAAGTGGTGTGACGTCTGATCATACGATTGACATTTGCTTTTACTGAGTAAAGTGTCAAATGCTTATGTAAGCAAACGCAATGTCTCACCAACCAGACTATGATTTTATCTGCGTATTATTCTAACAATTTATGGAAATTTCGGTGTGTCACAATGTCTCACACATTAAAAGGGTCACATTAAAACGCTGTCTAAAAGTAAAATGCAAATGTTCACTTTGAACTTTACCATTTTAATATCTTATATAAAAATTACATTTAAAACTTTACCACTTTAATATTTTATATAAAAATTACACTTATGTGACATTTAATTAGAAGACTTTGATGGCTATAATTTGGGGGTAAATATCTGGGGCCGCATTGCTTATCTAAATATTGTGTTGGGAAGAATTACAGGAAAATACATTTTTTTTTTAATATTTCACTATTTCTTCCAAATTAAAAGTAGACAGTAAAACCATATGTATCAGATCTGTTATCAAATTAAAGTCCCATCTGTCGTTATAAAATGATGTATAATATGTAAGGGATTACTACAACAGTTAAAAGATGTAAGGCGCAGAAACAAGACAGCGCTGAAGCAAGAAAGCAAAAAAACCACTCTGGGACTCAAGGGTGATCTAGGAAAAAAAAGCCCCAGGACTTAAAGCGGAGGTCCACCTAAAAAAAAAATAAATAAATAAAAGTCAGCAGCTACAAAAACTGTAGCTGACTTTTAAAATACAGCAACTGCTTCACAGCCGGGTGCCCATGCTCATGCGCGAGAAGAGCTGCACTTGGTGAATGGCTCCGTAGTCATTTGGGACCTGTCACGTGTCCCAGAAGACTATGGGGAGGGGAGGTTGGACAACTTCTGCTTCTGATCGCCTAGGAAATCGCAGCGGAAGTGGGAGCGGGTACCTGTCAAATTCGGGTACCCGCTCCCCAAAGGTGCCAATCCTTAATGCGGAGCAGGGGACAAAGGCTTAAAGCGGAACTTCCCCATTTGGGTGGAGCTCCACTTTAAGTGGTAAAAATAGTGACAGAGCTCATTATAGGTGAATTTGAGATAAACAGTTAAAGCTGAACTCCAGGTATGGATTTTTTGCATAGTTACATCAGCCCAGCTTGGATCAATGCAAGTATACATTCTATACCTGTGGGACCACTGTGGAAGCTGACAATGACGGTAGAGGTCAGCACTATGATCGTAAACGTCACTGTCTTCCGTGTCTCATGCATTTTCTGTTTGACCAGGTGGAGAAGCGAGCCTGTGACATCACAATCTTCACTTTGTCCAATCAGAGAACACATTGCATTCATTAAGAAAAATGCTGTGTTCTGGGAATGTTGCCTGTGTCAGTCAAGCAATCGCCTTGTGGTTACTATGCAGCAGGGCAGAACATGACCCGGAAGACAGCGGCGATCATTGTAGTAGTGGCCACTACTACAGTGATTCTCTGCTTCCACAATGGTCACATAGTTATGATATTGTAATAAAAGATGTTATAGTGAGCGCGACTTAAATACAAAAAGTGTATCGATGTGTATACACAAAAACGTTAGTGAGCAGCTGATACACCGAAAAGGTAACCAAGTAAAACCTCCAAATCGAAACATATATATTAAATAAATGGTGCAGCACTAAATACTAGAGCACAGTTTATACATACAATATATGAACATGCATGATATCACTCTAAGGGTGATCAATAAATACAAAAGTTCAATGTAATAGTGCGGATCATGGAGAGATCCCAATTCAAGGTGAGTGGACGTCCTGATCCAAGGTGTGATGGTAGGTGTGATCACACAAATAGGTGAAAAAACGCACTCACCAGATGTGCGTTTAATATACGCAATATGCAATCCTGCGTCACCAGGCCATAAAACGATCATCAGATCCCAGATCAGATTGTACCCAGATCACCATCCCGGTTCCACAGAAGTGAAGTCATCTGAAACCGCTACCAGGTATCACCACCAGGGTCGAGTCCTCCAGATGGGCACTGCGAATGATAGCACTCACACAGAGTGCCCAACAAGAGACCTCATAGCGTGATACTGCTTTAGATGCTTTTATTCAGGGTTGGTTGGTGTGGGGTACATAAAAAGATTAACCAAAAAGTTTACTGACCATATGCATTCCTAGGTAGTTAGGTGTCCTGCTGCCCCCCTGATCTCTCCATGATCCGCACTATTACATTGAACTTTTGTATTTATTGATCACCCTTAGAGTGATATCATGCATGTTCATCATATATTGTGTGTATAAACTGTGCTCTAGTATTTAGCGCTGCACCATTTATTTAATATATTAATATAGTTATGATATATGCACAATTACATCGGTTCAAGCTTGTAATAAAATTCATACCTGGTGTTCAGCTTTAAAAATTAAAGTAATTAGTTTTAAATCTGCTCATGCCAGGTAGACCAGTATTTTCATCCATTGTAGCAGAGGCAGTCAAAGGTTTCCCAAAAGCGCCTAATTGCGCCAGAAATCAATAAACTGTTCCACAGAACTTGCTGCTGAGCAAACGTTTATTAACCAAATGGAAAGCATTAGTAACAGAGCATCACAAGTTGCAATAGAACCTCTGCCAGGTTTTTACAGCTGTCTGTGCTCCCTTTAGGAAAAGTTTTCCTCACTTCTGATTTACTTACAAGTCTTTCCAATGATGACACAGCTAGAAATATAAACCTGTAGTAGCCTATTGCATGCTTTCCATGGAGAAAAAAAGATTTGTTCAAAATTTCACTTTAAGCAGTTTAGTTTAAATGGCCAGCCCCCCACACAATACCAAAAAGTACCAGATTATTTTAACACACTCTTACCTCATTTGATGGATGTTTGCCTGAGGGGTCAAACATGGTTTGCCCTCCAATGATGAAAAGGAAGTCATTAATGACTGCCACACAGTGATTGTACACAGGAGCATACATCTGTCCAAGTTCAGACCAGGAGCTGCCATCTTGATTTTGAGCCCAGATATTGCTGCACACTTGGTTATTGGTTGTCCTGCCACCCAAAACTAGGAGGCTTTCTGTGCTGGACCTTATGGTTGCACCTTCACAGTGAAGAATAGGTTGAGCATACAGTTGAGAATGGTATCTTAAAGCTTCTTGTAGGTATCTAAAACAGTTGGAGTCTGTTTTCATTATTGAAGTTTCTTTCACATATGTCTGGAGATCTTCTAGAGCGATAAGTGGAAAACGGATCCTCCTGAGGATATCTCCTGCCTCTTTTAGCCTGGAGCTCTCATGCTGCAGCCATGAAACTACCAAATGGAACAGTTCAAGCTCACTGCAACCTGGTACATCCTCCCTTTCTAGTACTTCACAGAGTGTCTTCTTGTCTACTAGGTTCAGATCTCCAGAATGTCCTGGAACATGCTTGTAGTGATGCCCAATATACCCGTTGGCCTTCACCTTCAGCTCTTCAGGACCATGTTTTCTGACAATATTTAGGATGTCCAAACACGTGTTCTGATTTAAACCATTCTCTAGAAACTGGAAGCACAACTTCACTGCTTCCCGAACCAACAAGACCTCAGCTGCTTTTAAAGTGTCTTCAATATTGGACAATGACAGAGAAAGCTTGCTGGAATAGATGAAATCTAGAACATTGTGGAGCCCTTTAGCACTGACGCCCTTGATTCTGATGGTGTTGTCAGCTCTGGGGTCCCCAAACAGTAGTTTACAATATGAGCTGGCAGAAGCTAGGATGACTTTATGAGCTGGGAAGAAGACCCCGTCAGCTTCAAGTGTTACATCACAAAGATCACGGTTGGATCGAAACTGCCATATCCTCTGCAGCAGCTTTTCAGGATAGTTATCAGAGGCCAAGGAGCAGATATCTCCACCGTTCTGCATGCTGAAGATTAATTTATTAACTGCCCCTCCAAATATTGTCTCACATTCGCATACGACTTCAATCTTGTTACATAGCGGTCTTCCCAAAAGCTGTCGAGAAGTAAGCTGTCACCAAATGACCAGCAGAGCCTTACCAACAAGAAGCGAGAACATCAGAGAAATATTTACTAGCTTTAGTGTTGGGTTACAACACACCCGCCCTATCTCCAGAGCACTTGGCAATGTCCCATATAGAATAATTGACAAAAGAAACACAATTGACCCCTGGAGCTTCTTGTTTAACGCCCAGTTGGCTGAGGTCAGGTAAACCTAGCAAGCCCAGACTTGCATTGTTAAACAAAGGACTTATGGAATGTTTCAGAAGTGCAGGTTAGCTATAATTGCTTGACAATCCTGTGTATGTGCAATAGATCTAAAGAGGAATGCATTCAACGATACAGGGTTTGTTTTACTTCCTCTTTTGCTGTCTTTTCACTGGAGAAACAAGGTAGAGGTGGTTACTTAAAAAAAAAAAATAAAAAAAAAAGGTCCATTAAGTTCAACCAGAAAAATAAATCACCTTGAATCCTCAGAAACCATCGCTAAGACAGGAAAAAAAAAATACTCAAACATGGAACTATTTGATTTGTCAGGGGAAAATGCATTTGTTTCCCTATAATAATAATTTGATAAATCCTTTAACATGCTTATTACCCCATTATAGTTTACTTTAGGTCTATTTTACTCTTTTCTTTCATAAACAAACCACAGAATCTGAGAGAAACAATAATCTTTTTGAAGATGGTTATAAATTTTCATAGTTTTTCTTTAAAAAAATAGAACCATTTCTGTAGCTGTGTATTAAATACCTTTTCTGTGGCTGGTTACATTCTTAGGGATATGTCACTTTAACAGCTGGTCATGTCACTGACAGCAACTAAATAGCAACAGGACCTTTAGAGACTACTCAGTTACTCCCAGTCGAAGGACTGTAGACTCTTCAAGGACGTAGTGAAATCTCAACGCCTTGCTGGTTCGGCCAGTGAAGAAGTGACAGGTGGAAACCTTTTATATAGCATGGTCCAATGTCCTTACAGAATTAGTGCAAATGGCCCAAGTGTCCACCCCTTTGCTTTCCTCACATCATAACACAGATCTCAAATCATAAATAATTCAAAATCTGTTAGAGGGTGGCTACATTATTATTAATATACAGGATTTATATAGCGCCAACAGTTTGCTCAGCTCTTTACAATATAACGGGAGACAATACAGTAACAATACAGTTCAATACAAGAGGGATTTGAGGGCTCCGCTCCTTGGAGCTTACAATCTATGAGGGAGGGGCTAGTGGTACAAAAGGGTACAAAAGGTAGTAACTGTGGGGGATGGACTGGTTGGAAGAGAAGATTCCAATATTAGCTGAGGGCAGGATAGGCTTCCCTGAAGAGATAGCATTTCAGAGATCGCCTAAAAGTGAGCAGAGTAGGCGATAGTCTGATAAATTGGGGTAGAGCGTTCCAGAGGATGAGGGAAGCTCTGGTGAAGTCCTGGAGATGAGCATGGGAGGAGGAGACAAGGGAGCTAGAGAGTAGGAGGTCTTGCGAGGAGCGGGAGTACGGTTTGGGTGATATTTAGAGACAAGATCGGTGATGTAATTTGGGGCAGAGTTATAAATGGCTTTATACGTTATTGTTAGTGTTTTGAATTTTATCCGTTGGGCAACGGGAAGCCAGTGGAGGGATTGGCAGAGAGGGGTGGCAGATACAGAATGGTTAGTAAGGTGGATGAGTCTGGCAGCAGCATTCATGTTAGACTGAAGAGGGGATAGTCTGCTATGAGGTAGGCCAATGAGGAGGGAGTTACAATAGTCAAGGCGAGATATAACAAGGGAGTGGATAAGTTGCTTAGTGGTTTCCAAGGTTAGGAACGGGCGTATCTTGGAGATGCTGCGGAGGTGAAGTCTACACGATTTGGACAGTGCTTGGATTTGGGGGTGAAAGGACAGATGGGAGTCTAGGATTACACCTAGTACCCTGGCATGAGGGGAGGGACTGATGATTGTGTTATTGATCTTGATGGAGAAGTCAGGAGAGGGGGCACGGGCTGGGGAGAATACTAAGAGCTTAGTTTTGGAAAGATTGAGTTTGAGGAAGTGAAGTGACATCCATGCCAATATGTCACTTAGTAGGTTAGTAATGTGAGAGGAGACTGAAGGGGTGAGGTGAGGGGTAGAAAGATAGATTTGTGTGTCATCAGCATAGAGATGGTACTTAAAGACATGGGAGTTTATCAAGTGACCAAGGGAAGAGGTGTAGATGCAGAAGAGAAGGGGTCCAAGGACAGAACCTTGAGGGACCCCTACAGAAAGAGGGAGTGAAGAGGAGGAGGCAGCGTTATAGGTAACACTGAAGGAGCACTGCGATAGGTAGGGGGAGAACCAGGAGTGAGAACAGCCTCTGAGGCCAAGAGAGTGTGGTTTTTTGAGGAGGAGAGGATGGCCAACCGTATCAAAAGCCGCAGAGAGATCAAGTAGAAAGAGTACGGAGTATGGCCATTGGTTTTAGCAGTTAGTAGATCATTAGTGAGTTTTAGTAGGGCAGTTTCAGTGGAGTGTAGTGAGCGAAAGCCAGACAGTAAAGGGTCAAGAAGGCTGTTGTCGGTGAGGTAGGAGCTCAGGCGATTGTAGACTAAGCGTTCTAGGAGTTTAGAGGTAAATGACAGCAGGGAGATGGGTCTTAAGCTGTTCAGGTTGGTGGGGTCCAGGGAGGGCTTTTTAAGTATGGGAGTGATGTGCGCATGCTTTAGAGGGGAGGGGAAGGCACCAGTAGAGAGGAAAAGATTGAAGATGTGAGGGAGGGAGTATAGGATGGAAGAAGAGGGTGACCGTAGTAGTTGTGAGGGGACAGGATCCAGGGGGCAGGTAGTGAGACGGGCTTCTGAGAAAACCTTAGTGACCTTTTCGGTAGTAGCGAGGTCAAAAGAGGAAAGTGTTGAGGGAGGTTTAGTATAAGGTATGCTAAGTGGGATGGATGTCTGTGCAGTGGCGATGCCCCTACGAATTGCGTCAATCTTGTTTTTGAAATGATTTGCAATCTTGTGAGCAGTGAGTGAGGTACTGGGTGGAGGTGGAGAAAGCTGAGAGTTAAAAGTAGAGAAGAGACGACGAGGACTGGATGAGAAGGTATTAATAAGAGTGACAAAGTAGGCTTGTTTGGCAGCATGAAGGGAGGAATTGTATATTAAGAAAGCAGATTTATAATGGGTGAATGCTTGGTGGGATTTGGTTTTACGCCACAATCGCTCCAGTGCACGACTATGTCGTTTGAGATTTCTGGTGTGCTCAGTCTGCCAAGGTTGTAATGGTCGGTGCCTGATGCTTTGTGTTGTTAGAGGTGCAAGCGAGTCTAATGCAGATGAAAGCGAACTGTTATAGACAACAGTGGCTATGTCAGGGCAGGACAGGGGAGAGATTCTGTCATAGAGTTGGTCAGTTGCAGAGTGGAAAGGAGCAGGGTTCAAGTTGTGAAGGTTTTTGTGGGTAATTGTTTGCCGCTTGGAGGGATAGGTGTTTGAAGACGAGGACACTGTGAAGGTGATGAGATTGTGATCAGAGAGAGGAAAGGGGGTGTTTGTGAGGTTGTAGGGAGTGCAAAGATGGGAGAAAACAAGGTGTAATGTATTCCCATCAGAGTGAGTGGAGAACTGTATACATTGTGCTAATGCAAAAGATGAGGTTATGTTGAAGAGTTGGGATGTAGCCAGGTTGTTGACATTAATAGGGATGTTACAATCTCAGAGAATGATAGTGGGTAGTTCAGAGGAGAGAAAGTAGGGTAGCCAGGCAGAGAAATCATCAAGAAAGCGCGACACCAGTCCAGGAGGCCGATAGATCACTGCAATCCTCAGAGAAATGGGAGAAAACAGCTGGATGCAGTGAGTCTCGGAAGAAGAGAAGGATAGAGAGGGAGGGTTAGGGAGGACTTGAAAGGTGCTCAGTGGGGATAGAAGCAAACCAACTCCACCACCTTTCCGACCACTGGGTCTGGGTGAGTGGGTCCAGATGAGGCCTCCATAGGACAGTGCTGCATGGGAAGCAGAATCTGCTGCTTGAAGCCAGGTTTCTGTAATTGCTAGTAGGTTAAGGGAGCGGGAGACAAAAAGGTTATGGACAGAGGTGAGCTTATTACAGAGGGAGCAGTCATTCCAGAGCGCACATGAAAAAGGGAGGGTGGTTTTTGGGAGTACGGGGACTGATATTAAATTGGGATTGTGGCTATTCCTGGAAGAAAGAGGATGCCTGGTGTGGGGGTGAGATACTGGAGGACCAGGGTTTGGGGAGATATCCCCAGAGGTTAGGAGAAAAAGAACGGTGGGGAAAGTAACATGGAAACGGGATGTACACGAGTGCACATGCCTTCCAGTCCTGGTGTTTGGGTCAGCAGGAGAGTTAAGTATCAGCAGGAGGTGATGAGAGCAGTAGTAGGCAGATGATAGCAGTGAGGTGGAGATGTACAAGTTTTGGGGTGGAGCAGAGAGGTAAAGAAGTGAGATTTTGGGAACGCAGGAAAGTAATATGAAAAGGAGTAGAGGGGACATATTAAAAGGTACACGGAGTGGGACTCAGACTTGTAAAAGATGTTCCCCAGGGTGTTTGCTTGCAGTCTGTCCAGCATGCAGTAGAGTTTCTTCTTGTTGCTGTATCTTCCTGCTGCTTGAGTTATCCTGCTTTAGTTCAACTGCTTTGTTTAACTGCTTCTTCGCACTCCATCAACGCAGCACTCATGCAAAAGCAGCACCCCATCAGTGACTTTGCCCCCATAAGCTGGTCTAAATTTATAGGGAGATGGTCAAATGAGCACTCTTCTCCACCCCAATTAGAAACTGATAAGGATCACATGAATAGTGGGGGATGTTTCTCAAGCACAGACCAGAAACAGACTACAGTCATAAAACGGGTGCAGCTAGAGGTGAGAACTGGTCAACATATACAAAAATATAAATACACCATTTGTTCAGAA